CCCCAAAACCCCAAAACCCCAAAACCCCTAAATAGCTGATAAATATTGATTTATATAATTTAATAACAAAATCTTTTAAAAAATGAAGAAAGTAAGTATCAAGGTGAAAGAGAAGTCGAACATTGGTTAATGAAGGCTTTTAGAACAGATATTTTCTTTAGTTAAATATTACAACAACCTTTGGTGAAGGATATAGGATATATGAACATATTTTAAGACTTAGACTGAAGGAGATAAGTTAAAGAATTTATGCATTTCGAAAATTTTCAAAATGTATATAACTCTCTATTTTTATTTTGTCCAATCGATTTTAGATTATTAGTTAAGACTTGCTTTTAAATTATAAGGAAATCTGTTCATAAATACCTTAGAGTATTCAATTCAGATTTGAGGAGTTAACTCCCTCACAAAATTTAATTTGGGTTGGTATTATAAGGAATATTTATCTAAAATTAATTGTAAACCTGATCCTTTGCAAGTGTTTCTTCTTAAGATAAGCCTTGACCCAAAATGTGATTTAAAGTATTACTGTGATAGATCAACTTCTAGAATTACACAAGTTAATTTGAACAATTCCTTATAACTATGAATTATAAAATATCTATAATCTTCTTCTTTTATCAAACCTTTCGAAAGAGCTTTCTTAGAAAATGTTTATAATAAAATTCTAAACCTATGGCCATCTGCCAAGAAGTTGTCAGTATAAATTCTTTCAGATGGCAATAATTTTTATTTGGGAATAAAAACATAGACAGATTAATATTTGACTTAGAAAGTCCACTCTAGAATATTATGAATGACTAGATGAAATTTAGTAACTTTGACCGCTGGAGTAAAGTTAGTCTTAATAGCAATAGTCCAACCTGTAGAAATAAAAGATTATGGCTTTGGTGTTTTGTTAAAGTAAACTCAACATTTTGATAATCTGAAGTTCATGCTATGATTGCTTCAAATTACGAGTTGATAGGATAAGATGTTATTAATAAGTATCAAGAATTTTAGTTTGCTACATTTTTTAGATTCTTAGAAATTTCTGTACATTTTTCCTTTTGCTTGAGATATAATTTCTCATATCGCAGTGTCATATCAATTATAGAAATGGAAAACTAGAAGGATGATATTATGAGCATTCATTGTGGCAGTTCTGTTGTTTGAGATTGCAGGTTGATGTTCTGAAGGATTTTTCAAGTACAATCAAGGATGAAAGCCTTGCAATAGTTCATGTAAAACATGTTCTGACGATACTTCCTGTGACAGCTGTGAGTCATTCATGACTTTGGATCCAGCCTCATCTCTCTGTGCTCACTGAGCTGATGATGAATACTATGACACCAGATCAGAATCTTGCAAAAGCTGAATGGATACTTGCTTGGGAGTTTGCAGCTATAGAAAGACATGCATGACATGAGCTCCAGGACAAAGCTTAGACATACAAACTCTCGAGTGTGTAGATGACTGCCAAGTATCACAGATTAAGCTTGAAGGACCAAGCTTGTCTGTTCCAAGTGCTTGCAGAACCCCAGACTATTATGTTGATCCATTGAGCACTGAAATATTGGAGCTTGGAACCAGAGAGCACCCATACAGAACAATGAAGGCTGTGAGTTCTGAAATTCTTACTTTTCTATCGCATCGAGAAGTAAATGTGACTATCAATGTGAAAGATGTTTACTTAGAAGATTATACTTTGTTTGCTCTAAACATGACAGGACTTACAATCAAGAGCCATCCAGGTTATACTGAAGCTAGCAGAAAGGCTTTGATAATTCCCACAGAGTTCACCCAAGTTGGGATCAGTAAGAAAGCTCGGCTTCATCTCCTAAATACTGCTGATCTCCCAGTAGAAAATGTTCTCAACGCTGGGAATTTTATGGACAGTGAAAGGCTACAAATTTTGAGAAGAGCAACTATCGTATTTGCTCGGACAGAAATTAAATTTGATAGCATAGATTTGTACAGGGAAGAAGAAGATTACAACAAGGGTATCACATTTAGCAGAGCAATATATTTACAAGATCGAACATTGACTTTTTGTAAGTTGATTTAAACTCAAAATCAGTCTCTCGAATAACTCTTATTTTAATATAGCTGATATGAAGATAAACATTACAGGAACTTTCTTTGAAACGTCTGATCCATTCAATATGTAAGCTAAAGTTCCTATTCCTTTCTCTAATTTATTTATCCTATCTATCATATTCATATAGAGTGATCAGAAATATAGAATTTGATACTTACAGTATGACCAATATCTTGGCGGTTTATATCTTTTGAAATTATCCTGAAGCTAATCAGAAAGCAAGTGTTGATATTGACGGTCTCAAATTTACTACTTCTAAAGATAGGACTTCAGCTTCTCATCCTAATGGATTTATGACGAACCACCCAGGAAACTGGACAGTTAAAAACTTAAATGCTGAAGATTTCTACTCGACTCTAGGCTCTTTCACTTACCCTTTTTATTATATGATCATCGCTCAGCTTTGCCTACCCAATGACGGGCTCATTCAGACTGCTACTTTTGAAAATTTCTATTTATCTGTGAATAATTCAAAGAGAGATAGAATAAATTCCATAGGTGCATCAACCTCAGCTTTTCACTACAGGTCTACATTTCAGACATATCGCAATCTCAATTTTCATGGTTATGAGGACACCACATACATTCCAGCTCTTTTGAAAGGACAACCAATTGATACAATAAATTTAGAAAGTTTTAAGTTCCAAAACTCAACTCTTCGATCGGCTTTGGTGACTCTCTATAACGTGAAGAAAGTGACTATAGGAAACCCTTGTATTAGTGTCTCTGAAGGCGAAAGCCTTCCCTCATGAGAAACAGTTATCCAGAACATTGGAGGATTCTACACCAACTTGATCACTGTCTCAAATGTTCATGAAGTAGAAATTAAAAATATTAGAGTTACTAATGTAACTGCTCCTTTCTCTCAGAGTTCTTCTTTGTTATCGCTTGAAAACTTTGAAGATAGCAAGATTACCGTAGAAGATATACATGTGAGAGAATTTAACTCTGGGAATGGAGGTTTATTATCTATCCCAGGAAATTTAAAAGCTATACAAATAAAAATGACAGTTGTTGATAGCAGTGCAAAACCAGGGTTATCTCTCTTTCAGATAAATTCCATTGGAAGCTTAGCAATAAATGGCTTTATAGCTCAAAATATTTCAGTAAATCAGAGGCAAGATGAAAATTCAGCTATATTTGATATAAACGCTCTTAACATGCAAGGAAATCCCAACTCAACTCTTGAAAATATTGATATCTCCAACTGTGGGATCTCTGTGCTCAAGTTCGGATCTATTCTCAACAATAATACTTTACCAAGTATATTTGAACTTAAGAATTTTACTGTTCGAGATTCGGTATTGACAAGCACAAGATCAATAATTTCAACTTCAAACCTTGAAAGCGATGCTGACTTCACCTTGAAGTTGAATGGGTTTTATTCTTCAAATGTGACATTTGAAAGCAAAGGGGACTTGCTGTTCTTTGACCATGGCTTAGTTAATCCAGTTATCGTTGAGAACTCTGTATTCACTAATTTGAAGTCAGTCTCGATTACTTTGAGAGGGTCTGACTCAGTTCCCAATATTGTTCGTGAAGTTTCCTTTAAAAACTGTACTTTCAGCAACATTTATTCGATTTCTCAATCTTTGGTCAGAGTATCAGAACAAGCGACTGTGAATTTTATTGGAAGTTCTTTTGATTCGGTTTCGTCATCGTCTGATTGGTCAGGAATTGTTGAGGCAACATCAAGCTCAATTACAAAGTTTTATAACACAAATTTCACAAGAAATGCGGCTGTAACATCGACATTGTTTAATGTACAATTAGATGCTTATTTAGAATGAAATTCATGATTCATCACTCACAATTTTGGTATAAGCAGTGCAGTAATTTCTGTTTTGACTGACGGGTATTTCAAATTTTCTAATTGCATTATCACTGAGAATATTGCTATTCAAAAACCAATTGGTCAGATAGTTGATGCTGCTAAAGTGAGTATAATTGACAGAACACAGATTTTCAATAACTCCATCATTACTCCGAGTGTGTTTGATCAAGAAACTTCTGGAGTTTGCTCACAACTCTGATTCTTGGACCAAAGATTAATCGATTATATCAATAACAGTCAATTGCAGAGCATTCCTGAAGGTTTTGAACTTATTGAAATAGTTTCTGGTTCACTTGAAATCATCAATAACACTCAAATCTACCACCAGAATGGAATACTAAATGTATTCATGTCTTCTTTAAAGATGGCTGGCTCAATCCTCAGGAATATCAACTTCACTAACACTCCAGTAAAGCTGACATCATCAATTTTTGAGCTTCAAGATATGCTTTTGACAAACATCCAAGATAACTCAGCAAATGAAATATTTTTGGTCAACGATGAAAGCCAGATAATTGCAAGAAACATTACTTACAACAATTCAAATACAAGGCTGCTTAGAGTTCTTTCAGGAAAAGCTGAATTGAGCATATTTACAGCTAGCAACATCACTGATTTTGATAATCTGGCCTTCTTCTTTTCTTGCCAAAGTGTGAAGATTTCGGATGCTACATTATCTGATTTAAAGGCTAAATCTGACCAAATTATCAAGATAGAAAGCTCTCTGAATGTTTCTTTAGATTCCTTATTCATCAACAGTTTACAACAAATTGCTATTTTGATATCTAAATCCATGGTTGAATCAATCAGAAACATGAATATTTCAAACTGTACAAAAGCTTTTAAAATTGTTAAAAGTAATGTAAACCTCATTGAGTCTTCTATTTTGAATAATAATGGAGGACAGAACAATTTTATTAAAGGTGGAGCAATCAAAATTATTGACAGCACCATAACAATTTCAAATACCTCTTTGTCAAACAACATTGCTGATATTGCTGGAGCAGTTGACTTTGAATGTTCTTCTACTGTTGTATGTAAACTAGAGATAAATAACTCAACTTTTCAAAATAATTCTGCCTCTATTCAAGGAGGAGCAATTAATTACAATCTCAAAAGGCCTAAACTTTTAGATTCTTGATTTATAAATAACTCTGCCCAATACGGACCTGATCTTGCTAGTTATCCTGTAAAAATTAGACTTAAGAATGATCTTAACAGCAATATTGAACTTTCTGGAATAGGATCGGGAGTTGCTATATCCTCTCCGCTTGAAATCGCACTTCTCGATTATGACAATCAAGAAATGAACTTAAATAATGAAGATCAAATTGGAATATTTACTCAGATCGGCTCTTCTGCTTCAGTAGAGGGAATAAATTCATTTCCTTTTAAATCTGGAATTGCTAATATTGAAGGAATTATATTTGTAAGTCAACCAGGCTCTAAAAATGTGACATTTAATGCTCATACGAGTGCCATCGACAGCAAAAAAGTCAGTACAGCATTCCCAAATAAGGACTTCAGCAGCAATATTACAGTTGATTTCAGATTCTGAGAGCCTGGAGAAGAAATCACCCAGCAAAATACTTGCAGAGAATGCGATGCTGGAACTTATTCTTTAATATGGAATTCTACCCAGTGAGTAAAATGCATGAACAATGCTGAGTGACTGGGAAGGAATCAAGTTAGTGTAAGTCCAGGATACTGGAGAGCATCTCAAACTTCCACTTTCATCGCTGAGTGAATCAACAAAGATGCTTGCAACGGTGGATTCTCAAGCGGAACTCTCCATCCTGTGGACTGAGCAGAAGGCTATCAAGGAGAGTTGTGTGCACAATGACTTGCTAATGAAAATGTAAAATATAGAAAGACTGGCAATTCTAAATGAGAAAAATGCCCAAGTCCTGTATGGAATGCTATCCTGGTTATTGGATTAGGATTTATTGTTTTTGCTTTTGTGATGATGCTTATTGTAATTAACATCAGAAAAACCAAGGAAAGTGAGTTATCTGTGCTGCTAAGAATATTGACTAATTATCTCCAACTCATATTTACATCTTTATCGTTATCATCAAGCTACCCAGTCTCAATGATCCAGTTTTTCGAAGCTACGAACAGGTTCGGAGATGCTTCTCAAACATTTCTGTCATTTGATTGCTTCATCAGAGACTACCAAATAACATCTCCGTTTAGTTCGAATGCAATATTGAAAGTATTCCTATTGAGTATACTCCCTTTGATTTTGTTCGGAGTAGTGGCTTTAATTTGGATCATTTTATACTTCATAAAACGCAAATATGTGAAGACCCTACAAAGAAATTTAGCGATATCCTTTATAAGTATTTTGTTTCTGCTCCATCCCAAGCTAACAGAGCAAAGTCTTGGTCTTTTGAGATGTGTTGAAATTGATGAGGGAGATCGAAGGGTGAGGATCGATACAAGTATTAAATGCTATTCAAGTGATCATATCCTTTACATTGCAACAATATCATCTCCAATCTTGATTATTTGGGTGATCTTACTTCCAGTCACAGCCTTGATACTCTTGTTCATCTATATTAAAAGACAATCAGACAACAAGATAAAGCAGTACTTCCTGATCCTGTATCAAGGACTAAAGCGGGACAAATTCTACTGGGAGTTTGTAAACACAGCAAGGAAGATATTTATTCTAATTATTTTCCCTCTTCCAGTGTCAATGAAGATGCTAGTTGCAGTGGTTGGGCTTGTTGTTTTTGCAAGAATCCAAATGAAGCTTCAGCCTTACACCATTTCCGATAATAACAATTTAGAAATACTTGCAATTAGTGCAGGAATACTTACTTTATTTAGTGGTCTTCTGTATTCTCAAGAATCAGAGATGGCAACTATAAATTTTGCATCAATGATTTTCTCTGTGATGTTTAACATTTGATTTCTGGCACATTGGCTGTATCTATTATCTAAATCAATGAAGGATTCTTCCAAACTTCTTCATGCGGTAAGTAAAAACCATTAATCTAAAGATGTTCAAGTTCCTGACTTATTTACTCTGAAAAGAAAAGAAGAAGGAGAAAATCAATAAGGAGGAGCCTGGAACATTTAGGAATGATACAAAGAAAAATAAGAAAAAGAAAAGAACCAAAAAATATAAAAACCATAAGAGGATTAGAGGTGAGATAATTAATATCTAGATGTTAGCATCAAAATTCCATTCAGCAAAAGTCCCCTACATTTTCAATATCTTATCTCGAAGTCAATTGAAGCTATCACTTTTTAAAGCATCATTTGAAATTTATAATTTTTAATCAAAAACCTGGAACATTTTCAAATTAGTAGAAGAATTCTAGCTCAATAATAATCCTGAGCTGCATTTTAATAATGACTTATTAACTCCAAGAAGTTGGCTGATAAGGCCTCAAATGTTGTTGGCTGATTGCTCACCTATATGCTATTTGAGTTGAGAGATTTACCTAAATTCCAACCTTACAGTATTAATGATAAAGTTTTTATTAAGAAGATCCCAGAGAAACAGTGATTGCTATAATATTAAAATAGGCGCAAGTAATAAAATGGCAAATGAAAAGAGAGAAAAGAGATTAGCTATATTGAATAAGAATGAAGATGTGCTGTTTTCAAAGAATAACATTGATAATTACTTAATGATGGTGAATCAGGAAGTAAGTTTCCTATCAAATCCAATGATCCTGTTAATTTTGATAAAATGTGATATCCTGCCAGGTTTAATAAAATATTTAGAATTCAAGTTCTTCTCAGAAAGAAGAAGATAAACTGATCTCAAGTTCTTTGGAAAGACAACAATTTTCCTCTTTAAGAACAAATAGGAAAATGCTGAAAGTGCCTGAACACCCTAAATATTCAAAATGTTAAAAAATTTCAAATATCTTATCGGGAAGAGGTTCTAGGGCTACCAACCTCCCCATTCTAAATCTGAGAGCATCAATTATTTTCAAAGTAGAGAATGCTGTAATAATAGAACATTTTCCTCTATAAGATTAGTTATAGGCTTATAAAAGTCCACTTGACGATTACTCATATTACCTTAAACTCCTCCATTCCTAGGAAAAGGTCATTCTCTATTTTTTAGATATTTAGGAATATGCTACAAGAATATATTCCCTTATTTTTATTTGGCAATATTAAAATTCAACATCTTCCCCTGAAAATGAATTATTGGGGTTTTGGGGTTTTGGGGTTTTGGGGTTTTGGGG